CTCCCCCCCCCCTTCGTCAAATACCTCACGGCGTTTCGCGCTTGGTGATGTGAGAGCCTGGTCCGGTGAGAACCCGGCATGCTCCGTCCCGGCTTTGTAGGGATGCGAGGTCAATGGTCTAACGACTACGGCATGCACGACTATACCCCCCCCCCCCTCCCCCCGAAGAGGCTACTGCGAGCCCCTTGTTTGTACCAACGCTTCGTTAGTTTAGCTGCAGTAGCTCGAGGTGGCACGCTGCCGGCGCCGTCCTGACGCGAACCAGCCAGACTCTTTGTGAATGCGCGCGAGTTATTGTGCACGCGTCCGGTCGCTCCGAAGCTTGGTCCTTTTCTTGAAACCATCAGGTGGCCGTACAACGCATCTGGCACCTTGTCTGTCTCTGGAACTCTCGTGTGTGGTTTCGCGAAGCGTACCACGAGAGGTTTGTCGGGGGTGTACAGTTTGAGTTGACTGAGCTGTTGGAAAAGGTGTGGTTTCGAGGCGTTCGCCTGTATCTTTTCTTGCGGCTTGCGGCCGTTTGGTTGAGTTGGTTGTCCAAAGCCATATGCTCCCGTCACCACCGGTACTTGTCGCGTTTGGTAGCAGTTCGTGTCCAAACCTCTTTTTCGATCTCGTCGGTCTCGGACGGAGCGCACTTACTACGTTCGCTGCGAATCGTTGCGACAAGAGTCGACCAATTTCTGCGCTTGTGTTTGAAGTCGAATCCCCCCCGGCCCTCCCCCATCCGTGCATCCGCGGAGAGCACTGCGCTTTACTCAACGCGACCAGGTCGAAACTTTGGTAAATCGTTGTTGTTCGACAAGGTTCGGCGGGGTCGAAAATTCCCTCAGTGCGCCAGTCCCCGGCACGCCGTTGATTTTGCACGCGGCCAAACATGTCGTAACACTCACCAGTACTCCACCCTCCACGTCCATCTCTCCCACTTGCCGATTCATCAACAGATTCACCGCTCGCCATCTCCGCCACCACCCCCGCGGTCCGAATCTCAAGATTCGTCTAGGCCCCAGGTCTCTGCTGCAGCGGCGCATGACCACCACGCCTCGGGTTCGCAGGCGGACATGTGGAACGCTGTGACACCCCCCGGCCTTGCCGGTTTGCGCGGCCGTAGAACTTAGCTCTTAGGATACACGGATGTGGTTTTTTTCCGGGGGGGGGGGATTTTCGTTAAGTAATCTTGTGCGAGTTAAAATGCCAAGAACGAGAGAGAGAGGGGGAAGAGCGCACGATAGACAAGTTCAACCAAGGGAAGATGGACCAGAGATCGACAACTTTCCCCCTCTGTCTTTTGCATCGCGCGAGGCTTGCACGGGGAAACTTTCCCGTCAACAGCTGCGAGACCAGCGGCAAATTCAATGGCGATTCTGCGAGGGCTGCCTCCGCCACAATTATGTGTGAAAGATGACCGTGCACTGCCAACAGCACACGGTTTACCCCTCGCAGCTTATGCTTGACAGGATGTTCCGGGGCCAGACGAAATTCCACTGTTTGTAGGAATCGCCGTGATGCATCCTCATGGCGTATTTTTTCTCATCTTGCAAGTGCCTCGAAAGGCTCGCGTCGACGCCAAAGTGGCGATCCCTGAGACTGACGGTGAATTGAATTTGGCGCAAGAATCAGGCAAATGCATTTATATGTACAGCCTGCAATAACTCATGCGAGATTAATTCGCCCTCTCCAGCTAGTACGATACGCAGCCTGTCCATGCCCATGATGTATGCACGCTAGCTGGCGACAAGCGTTCGAAACCGGGCTTCGCAGATATGACAGCGCGAAGGCTCCCAAGCTCACATTGGTTCCACCAGCGCGTGGCAACGCAAAGAATCGCAAAAATCATGCAGCCTGGTCTCCGAATGAAGTTTGTTGTTAGGCCCTTTGGATCGTACCGGTACTTGTAGACCTCCATCCGGGTCGCACCTGTGCCTGTGTGTTTCGCTGAACATTCCATCTCTTCGGCGTTACGCGGTAAATGGCGGCCTCATGCCTGACGCAGGTTTGCAGGATGTGTGTGAGAGACGCAAATTCCGCCAAGAAGCAGGGTTTCTGGCTGCCTGTGTTCGTGCATTTTTCCACATGCTTTCACAACCCTAGACGGTGCATTCCATCAAAGAAAGTTTTTAGCGTTACCCCCTCAATTTTATTTCACTCTTTCGGCTGTCCTTCCTCGAATTATCGCTTACGCCTGCACTTTTCGGAGTCGAAAATCCGTCTGGGAATTCACTCAACGCCCTAGGTCCCCACCCATACTTTGCTGTCTCATGGGTACAATCCGTGTTGTGGATCACGCCACTACGCGAACGTCCAGTTATCGGGTGGATGGCCTCCTGTTTACTACTATTTCATGGTATGCGCCAACATGAGCGTCGCTTCGAGAATACATCAAATCAATTTATTTCGCAAATCACATGAAAATTCAATTCCTCTACTTGAATCAATTCGATTCTCAGTACACCGTCTACCTCCAAAGAATACAGGGCATACCACTTGAGAGCTTTGCAAACACCAATGGTACCGCCCAGCTACGTCAACCGAAATTGAGCGTCGTATGTAGACGAACACCCCTTCCAGTATCTATTTTCGTCTAGTCTACTCGTGGGGTTAGGTCCACTACACCATTCTCTTGAAAACCAGTAGCAGAGGCCCCTTCCAGCCCCTCTTGAAGTAGACCACCGACAGTATGTATTGCCGAGGGCCGAACTTCTCCACGACACCAAGGAGGCAGCAGGACAAGGGCGCCGGCTGTCTAAACTTGGATCACGATGTACTATTATTTATCACCTCTCTACATGACATTCACTTGCTGGCGTCCACTCGTGAACCAAAGAGCAGACCGTCCCATATTCGAGAAAAACCTGTGTTGGGGGAAGCGAGCAGGAAAGCTATCTCAGCCGGGGAAGCGTGCTGGATAGGTAGCTATGACGGTGGCTTTGCAAGGTGCGTGCGAGCTTGGGTTCTCACCACTTTCATCGCTCCAACGCCCATCCTCTCACGTACAAAACAGGATAGAGGCCGGCCCAGCAGGATGAGCTTCCCGCGCGAATCGCGGACCAAATCGCGTTCCTCGACATTCTGTTAACCGTACAATTCTCACCCGGTGACCGTCGAGTATAGGCCCAACTACGTCGCCGATGTGCTGCTGAAGGCCGATCACAGCCTCCTCCGTGTTTCAGTAGGCACCTCTGCGTGGGTGTTGCGGGATCAGGCTTCACCGCATGTTTCCTCCGCCGGCGGTGGAAAGGTACCGACACTGCTGTCTGCTACGAGTTGTGTGTTGCTGCGGGGGACGCAACGGTTCGAAACTCTAACGAAGGACCTGTTTTCACGAACGGAACGGGTCCGGGTACATAGGGTGGTGGTATCAAGAAGAAAGGTCCCAACGCAGGTACGACACGAGCGTCACGAGGCATGTACAGTGTGAACTCGTGAACTCGGGCCGATTTCGCGGCAATTTTCACAATCCACGAACACCATATACCAATATTTTCGCTGGCATCGCCCTCTGTACTGTAGCATTGGTCGAGGCATCATTCAGAAAAAGTATATGAATGATTTGTCGTCTGAACCATCGCGAGCTCGCAAAGGGTGACACCAAGCGTTTTTCTCGTACGTCGAGCACGTTTGGGGGGGCAATTTTTGGATGCATGCTACAAGGAATATTGACTCGATCCTGGGCTAATTCTGAACGCTAAATCAAAATATTGACTCGAACCTGGGCTAATTATTAACGCGTAATGCCTTTCCGCTTCCCAAAAGTTCACAATTGACAACACCATGAACCAACTCTCTAGGTTCTTCAAACATTCTTCAGACGGACACTACATACAGGACCAACAATCGCAATACACGATGGCATGTGATCCTTTTGTGTCAGACCTCAGCGCACACAAACGTCAACTCTCACCTTGAAGATCGTTCCCGGCTACAGCCAGGTGCTCCAGAAGTGTCAGGTTTCCCAGTTCTGCAGGAATGCTTCCTGCCTCGAAAGGTCGGGGGTGAAGCCGATGAGAGAAGCGCAACATGCAGATGCGCGAAATCAAGCGGTGGGTCATGGCGTTCGGTCGTGCAGCACGAACGCATCCGGACCCTCAGGTCGACAAATCAATCCTATTATCAAGCGTCCTCTATTCCAGCATTGCTACACGCCGGGGACGGGTGTCAGGCGTCGAGCTGCGTACCGGAGAGTTGGTTGTCGTATAGCTCCAGCAACACCAACTTGGAGAGGTTGCCAAGCTCGGGAGGGATTGCACCTGAGAGCAAGCGGTCGGGCGCGGCATGCGGTTTATCATGCAGCATGCGCGATGACATGCTTCGATCGCCCAACAGCTCACGGCGCCCAGACGACTCGGGTGAGCTGCTTCGAGCATCCAAAAACTCGCGGCGCCCAGACAAATTGGGTTCACGCACTACTGACCGCAGAGCTGTTGCCAACTCTCGGGAATTTTCAAAGCATGGGTTTGGATACACTCGGACAAGGTGCTTCTCCGAATACTGGTACTCGGGTGACATTGCTTCGAGAAAAAAACGGAGGAACACATCGGAGTGTGGTTAGATTTCACCATTGTCGTCCAAAACGGTCTACAATTTGTGGTAACGCCGCCTTCCGAATATTCTCCCAAGAAAGACAACATTGACTTGGTTTCCCTTCCTTTAGACGCCCATGGTTTCCATGGCGATCCGAATGGACGTGCTTACCTGTAAGCCGATTCCCTCCAACCGTCAGCTCTGTTAGCGCTCGTAGGTCTCCAAACTCGGTCGGTATGGAGCCTGCCACCAATGTTTGTTTTACGTCCGTTGAACGTGGTCGGCGTGCTAGAGTTATTCATTTTGCGCTGGAGTTTGAAACAACTTGATTCAAACAGCAGCCCCGAGATGCAGGGTCGTTGGCTCTCCTAAAGGTATGCGATCGACCTACCAACGATGGTTGAGGCGTGGCGCGGTTTACGAGGGTTTCCCCCTACGGTGGTGGCGTTTTTCGCGAAACACATTTGCAGCCGCATCGGTGGAAGCTGTGGCGACGCCAAATAATGGAAACGATCGGGCGGGCGGCTCTCGGTAAGGGGCCGCCCAGACGCGACTGGCGGACGATTGTCGCTACCCTCCTCGTCGTCGAGGAGTACCACGTACGATTGTGAACCAGTGGCGCGGTACAGTAGGTAAAAAATATGCCAAGGGTTTGTTTCCACTGCTGCAGCAGAAAGTACCATCCACCACATGGAGTCCTGTTCTCTTGACTACAGTATGTATGTCGTCGACAAAAAAAAACGTCCGGAATCACACCGGCAGAGAAAAAACACGAGAAAATCACCCATCAGCAAGAGGAAAACTTCCAGTAGGGACCACGGCGTCCATCAATGGCGTCAACGAGACAGAAAACATTGGTTCGCGATGTACGAACCCCCGTACAGCGACGATTATTTAGCACCCCATCACCTTCAAGGGTGTTGAAGCTGAGATCAAGGCTCTGTAGTGCCGCGAGCTTTCCAAGCTGACGAGGTATCTTCCCTGAAAGCACAGTAATCCGCCGCCAAGCGTGGGGGCGTGTATATGTGGCCATGGTCGACAAGTGGGGACACGTTTCAGACTTCTTCCTGACGATTTGTTTCGGCTGCCTAACTTCAGTTTTGCGAAGGTAGAAACTCCTACGCGCTTCACGTGGTTGTTTGCAAATAAAGGGGTACGTGCCCAGGAAACCTACGCTGGGGTGGGGAAGACATTTTCAGCGCGAGATCGACAGCGTCCTCATTTTCCCGTCTCACCGGTGAGCTGGTTCTTCTGCAAGGAGATGAACCGAATGCGGCTGAGATTTCCCATCTCCGCTGGGATAGGGCCTGTTCAGCGACGGGAGGTGTAGACGAAAGCATACAGCGAAGGATCACACGAAAGAAGAATACGTCCAGCACACGGCAGCTTGCTGCGAGAAAAGCCGGCACCGATGGCGCTGAGCACCTTCTTCCAGGTGAGGCATCCAGGCAAGCGAGCATTAACGCATTCGATACGTACGTAATTATGTCTTGTCGCCTTGGCACCAGGTCCACCAATCGAAAATATCACCAGGGCCCCCATTATGTATGCAGGGCACACCATCGCCAACCCCCTGTGGGTTGCCTTTCGCCTCGCTTGAAAACTAGCCCCAAGTCCTGGGAAGAAGACATTCGGCTCACCCGAGAGCTTGTTTTGGGCGAGGAGAAGGCTTTCCAGCAGCGGGAGGTTTCCTATTTCTTTCGGGATTTGACCTTCGAGTAGCGAGAACAGCGGCGGCGTGGAGTGGTAGGAAAGCGATAAACGTGGGAAGCAGGACAAGAGCGTCGTGCGTCTAGCAACTGATCGCCTCCCGGGGGCTGCTATTCGCCATCTGGAGACTAAAGCAATGCTGGCGTGGAAGTGTACCGTTTCGTGAGCCTGGACTGTTGGGTTCCGGCCAGACATGTTTCGTTGGCCAGGCGGCGAGGTCCCTCTCCGTGGTTTGCAACTCACCTTGGAGGTTGTTGCCGTGGAGGTCCAGGTAGGTGAGCGAGCTCAAGCCTCCGATGAACGGAGGGATGCTTCCTGCGTGGATGCGGACGTGTTGAGATTTTGTGACCAAGGAACTCGGTGGGAGTACGGACAGCTCTCTTCCTTTTTCCTTGTCATCACGCTCGTCTTCTAACCCTAGTTTCCGTGCTCAACTGCTGTTCCGAACGTCCGAAACGAGGCCCTTTGTCGGTCACCAACGGCTTAAAAAAAACGAGAGACACGTCCAAACGCCCGCGGCGACGACGCCGTCAAAACCTACGTAAGTGGAAGGGGGGGGGAACATTGATTCTGGAGATGCAGACTTTGGCCGTCCCGGTGACCACGCTCACCCCTGAGGGAGTTCCGGTGAAGGCGAAGGTCTCGGAGGAAGGCTAGCATTCCCAGTCCCGACGGGATTTCGCCTGCTCATAACGATCGAAGCCGCGCGGCACACACAATAAAACAGCTTCTTTCTGTGATGACACGAATTCCACCGCCTACGCCTGCTAAAGCCCATTTCGATGTTCGATTGCCCGATCGCGCCCTCTCGACTCCGTAAGATTACGGTGGAAGCAAAGGTGGGCCCGGTCTTGAGCAGGGTGGATGTGCTTCGATGCCGGGGCGGGTCACAACAAGCCAGTCGGCTGCCGCTGTGGGACAATCCCATGGTGTACGCAAGGATCATGCGTTGGAGCAATGCGTTGGGTCGTGAATAAGAGAGCTTTGCGGCACCGACAAAAATCGCTTTCGGAGGGGTGGGGGATAATCAGGGGTGGCTGGGCAACATGAATGCTTGTCGTGCGGCGTCTGGAGGGTTTTGAAACCTCAATCACCGACGCCGTCTTAGCATGCGAACTGACAGAGTTCTTGTGGTCGGAAGCTAGTGCCCAGAGGGGGGGGTCTGACGTCCTCACCGGAAAGCTTGTTTCTGGGGAGAGTTAGCCTCTGCACGTGCCCCCCCCTGTCCACGGCGACGTTGTACCACGCCGACAGCGGCTCCTCGGAGCCCCAGTTGGCGCTGCCGACCCACGTGGGGCCGTGGCACCGGTCAAACAGCTCCATCAGAATGGCCCGGTCGTGCTTGCCCCGCTGGTTCGGTTCTGCTACGGGTGGTGGAGCCATGACTTTGTGCCCGGCCATAATCTTCCCTTCCTCCCCCTCCTCTTCTGTTTCCTCCTCTACGTCCCCCTCCTCTAACCCCCCCTCTAATCCCTGCTCCCCCCCCTGTCCATGCTGTTGTTCTCCCCGAACCCCTGCGTCTGCCTCCCTGTGTGCCCACATCCCACCCCCCTCGTTGCCGCTGTGCTGGGTCTGTATCCCCCACATGTCCTCCGCAGCCGCGTCGGACAACAGCACATTCTTCCATTGCGCAATATCGTCGCCCTGCGCTGTCTCGGATCCCCCCCGACCCGCTACGGCTGCGGCTGCAGCAGCCCCCCCGCGGTCCTCCACTTCACTACCATCATCACCGAAAGCGGATCCGGCGTCCGTGTCGCAATCGCTGCCGTCCGTCTCTTCGCCGTAAACGTACCGAGCGGCCCCGAAAAAAACGGCAGCACCAGCGAGAGCATTCTTGGTTGTCGCTGCGTTCCCGTTGGTGCCCTCCACTCCGGTCGCGTATCGGCGTTGGAAACCGCCCCCGCTGGTGGCCAGTATACTGTAGGCGGAGTTGACACCTCCTCCGGGAGGGAAGTGCACCGGTGGCGGCTTCTTCGACAACCATTGCCGCAGCACGAAACCCGGCCTTCCCGCGCTGCCGCCAGAGGCGCTGTCATCGCCTTCTCCGCTTGAGCAAGATGCAGGTGTACATCTGCGGCTGTCGCCATCTGGGAGGCCTTCTTGCCTGGCAGTGGTGGAGGTGACGGCAGCGGCGGCGGCGGCGGCGGCGGGGCCGGCAGGGGCGGCGGCGGGGTGGTGCCCCCAACCGATTGCCGTGTGAGAAACCCCTGCTTCTGTCGCCGGAACGGCGGCGCGGCCACTGCCGTCGACGCCGGCCGCACTCAAGACCGATTGGTGCCCGCCTCCCCTTTCCAGCTGCTCTCTACCGTGTGCCTGATATCCGACCGGCGAGACGTCCCCCCCCCGCGACGTCGCCGCCGCCGCTGCCGGAAACGTGGCCTGCTGCCGCCGCACGGGAAACAAGTACGGCGACAACAGGGCCACCTTCGGCGTGTCCTCCGCGTTCTCACGCCAGCTCCCACTCCCGGTTGACCCCCTTTCTGTCCAGGCCCCGTTTCGGGCTGCCGAAGAAACCGCCACAGCTGTAGCGGGCGCCGCTCCCAGAGCTCCTGGAATGGCAGCAACGGCGCCCGCTTCAGCCTGCCTCTGGACCTCCTGCTGCCGAGGCTGCTCCTCTACCGCCGCTGTCCAAATCTTCCCGCGAGTGGTGGCGCTCCCCGTTGCGGAGGCGTGTCCGCACAGGGCCGCTATCTCGGGAGTGATCTCCTTCATGGTGGGCCGCTCCCGGCTGAGGGCGGACCCGCACCGGTAGAGCAGGCGCTGCAGGCGCCGCATGAGCGGGGCGGGGCCGGAGGAAGACCCGTCGAGGGAGAGCCTTGCGTCCGGGGCGCGCAGCAGGAGCTCTCCGATGGGGGGGCCGACCCAGTTGTGGCTGTTCGTTACAACCTGCTGGAAGATAACATGCGAGATTTTTTGGCGTTCTTTAGTTGAAACGCCTCCCTTCTTTTTCGCGGGAGCACCGCGCGAAACAAGATTTGCTGGGTGCTGTATTTTTTGTCAACCTGGTCATGATGACGCCGTCATAGCCCGCAGCTGTAAGAGAAAGAGGAGGACTGTGGTGTTTGGTGCCATGTTTTTGTCAACCTCCGTCGTGGAGAGCAGCTGTAAGAGAAAGAGGAGGATTGTGGTGTTTGGTGCCATGTTTTCGTCAACCTCCGTCGTGGAGACCAGCTGCGGGCGAAAGAGGGGGATCAGCGCTGCATGTTCCAAGGTCCACCATGTGCGTTGAGGGTTCGTTTTCTGGGTCGGCGTGACCTGGATGTGCTCCATGTTCAGTACCATGCGTTCCTCGGTGCGCGTCACCCCGTGGGCCAAGGATCTGCTTGCTTCATGTCCGGTTCGGAACGACTGTTTCCAAGAAGTTGCCGAATACTTCTGGGCCACGTTCGTGCCCGCGAGCCGAGGTATGCCGTTGGTCTGTTTGTGGCGATCTTGGTAACAGACCTGTCCTGGCTGGCAACTGCGCCGTGTGAATACCACGGGACACGTTGGGGGAGCACCGACTGCTCAACAAGAAAAAAGGTGACGCGATGTGAGCCGAACAAGACCCCCTGCGCCAGATACGACGCAGTAAATAGACCAAGAAAATATCCTTGTGACAACCATAACCCGCTCCCTTGAACCTCATTCACCTCCCACATGACCACGTGCAGGCTGAAGACGTCCGAAGGGGCTGAGACGATCTTGTGTGTGTAAACCTCCGGTGCCATCCAGTACCGCGACCCCACCTTTGAAAGAGCGCGCCGAGAGGGACGGAAGGCGCACGAATAGCTAAGCACGCGCTTAAGATGTTTCGAAAGAAAGCGAAACAATTTTAGAGGTGCATAGCCTCCTGGAGGCTATGTATGATGCGTTCGTTTTGTCGCTCTCCTGCCTTGGGGGGTTGAGAACTGATGGCATCACGGCGACATGTGCGTTGGCGGGAAAACGCCGGCGACGAGAGACTGTGTGAAAACTGGTTCTATTCTCGCCTCTGTTTACGTTATGTGCAACCGTCGTGGTGCTTCGACCAAATTATTTTTCCTCTAGATCGCCAGGAATACCGCATGGTACACGTATGTATCGGTTCGGGAACGAGCTGTGCGTTGGACTCAATCCGATTCCAAACAACACTCCTTGTCTGTCATGAACTTCTCTGAAACCAATCAAGAACGTGATGCAATCGCACAGGAAACAGCAAACGGAAAGGTCACCTTGGTATGGTAGCCACCCCCGGTGTTTGCGTTCATCGTCTCGCTGATGTGCGCGAGGTTGACATCTGAGAGTTTTGCTTTTCCGTTGGAGTCCAGCAGTACGTTCGGGCTCTTCACGTTTCTGTGCACCATGCCGTAGTCGTGGAGAAACTCCAAGGCCTTTCTTCGGAAAAAAACCAGCAGCAACAAAACCACGAAAAGGCGGGAAAAGACGGATGAACCAAGCGAGGTGGCTAGATATCGAACATGCAAGCTGGTCGGTACGCAACAGCCTGCAAGCTGTTGCAAAAAGCTCGAAGCATTCTGTAGCCAAGGCTCGGCAGGACGGAGAGGCATGATGAACGACGGGAGCGAAGAAAAACGCATGAAGTCTCCAGACATTTGGACATTACCAACGCTGCGTGTCAGTGTGGAGCGCCTTCGCGAGGCCGATGCTACCATTGATGGAAGCACTCAGAGTTTCGTGTGACGCAAGCCAGACCAGCCAAACGTTTATCTTGGCCCCGATACGTGAGCAGCAGGAATCCAACAAATAATGCGACGAAGAAGAAAGCGACTGGCAAGAACACGCGAGGTACGACCAGGGGGACTGAGGAAACGAAGGACAGACCCTAACCAACGGGACACTTTAATATTTTTTCAGACGACGTGGTTGTTTCCGTCCGCTCAAATGTAGCAAGAGGCGCATGTTCTCAACGCTCAGATGTTGAACTTGTTTCGGGAGCACCCACGTTACGGCTCCCGTCTCCAATTGGTTTTGTTCACGGGGGCCTGCAGGAGAAATCGATGAACGTGACTGACTGCATGATAACGTTCGGCATACAGAGTGCCAGCCCGCTCGTTCAGACTTAGACTACGTCGGTAAGAAACCGAGGCTCAGATCTTGGACAAACTTAAGAAAATTGCCCTCCGAAATTGAGCTTAGCGGCCGGCCCTACATGCATTCCCGTGTGGTATAGAAAGCCTTTGCTCAGCGGTGGAGTCAAAATATGGTTTTTAGGCCTCGCTCAAAATAGGTGAGCGGGCCGGCACTGAATGCAAAAGGCGAATTCCTACACTGGTTGTCGTGTCACATCGCTACAGCGAACAGCTTCCGGGAACATTGATGAAGATCGGTCCTTGCTTTGCCTAATTATTCTCACCTTGCACACGTCGAGGACGATGCCTAGAGCTGCCGGGAAGCCGATGGTGAGCGTTTGGCTGAGCAGTCCGAAAAGTGACTCTTGCATTCGTTCCATTACCAGGCAAGGGGGGCGCAGAGCGTCGCCAAGGCTAAACGCCAACAATTCCACGATGTTGTCGTGTCTCATGACGAAGTGCATCTCCGCCTCTTTCCTAAGCCATCATGCGTTGGTGGGGGGGAAAACGACCAATCTCAAAAGATAACCTTTTTCATGTTTGTTTGTGTTAAGGAGACGCGAGACTTCTCCCTCATCGTTGTCTTTGTTGTTGAACTCGTTCGTGCGTTTCAAACGGGCGTGTGCACATACTTGCGATTCTGCTTGCTGGCACAGCTAGCTCTCCACAACGCACGAAAAATATCAATTCGACATACACCAAGATTCCAGAGAGAGGGAGGGAGGGAGAGAGAGAGAGAGAGAGAGAGAGAGAGAGAGAGAGAGAGAGAGAGAGAGAGAGAGAGAGGTAGGTAGCACATCGGGCCATGACGTACCTCTTGTCCGACATTACATTCTGTTGACTTCCAAAACCAAGAATCGTACATCGCGCACGACGAGTTCATACACTACACGAACCTGAACCCCTCGAGTGTCTGGACCGCCGTGACAGTAGCCCGCGCCTTCTTGATCGCTACGGCTCTGCCGAAGTACTTCCCAGCCAAGACCTCGCCGAAGGTTCCCTGCCCCAGATGGCCCGCCTCGACGAGGCCTTCGAACCGGACCCGCTTCAGCTCAAGAAGATTTCCATCGTTGCGACCTATTCGTCGGGAGGCTGGCCCGATGCCATCCACATTGCCCGAGACGGATCCCCCCGCCGCTTGTGAGAGCGGACTGAACGCAGGAGGCGGCGGCGGCGGCGACAGGGCCAGAAGCTCGTCGAGTATCACTTCTTCTACGGACGCGCCGCCGGTGCTGCTTTCGTTTGTCCGCGCTTTCATACCTTGCTCGATCGCGCCCCTGGCTTGGTCCTGGGCCGACGTGCTTCCCTCCGCGCCGCTCTCCGGCAGCACAGGCGATGATGTGTCGCGATGTTGGCCGGCTGTAGACCGATCCGAGTCCGCGGCGGTTTCATTGGCGATCTTAGAGGGAATCCACGTGTTGTTGAAATGACGTGAAAGATTGACATTTCAGGAAGTTTTGACGTGAAGAGGTTGCGCCGCTTTTTTGGGGGCAAACTCTGACGGCGAAATTTTTGTGAGGAAGCGTCAAAATTAAATTTCACCCAAAGATAAAACGACGCGAAAAGATTGACGCTTCAAACATCGCCAGACTGTGGCTCACACACGCTTGCTCTGCTGCGGTCTGCTGTGCGCGGTCAGCAGCGAACACATTGGCCATGCCTATACTGATTGCTCCTAGCGGTCCTGCACCCACGCGTCTCGGCAGTTCTCACGGCGGCCAAGTGGCCAGACGCGCGTGTTCGGCGCGCGCGTTCGGTAGATGCGCCGTCGCGATTGCGCACGGGCTTTCAGCAGCAAAAAGGGGCATAGGCAGGGGAGTGATTGGGGGAGTCTCGCCCACGAAGGCAGCACATGGAGAGGAGTAAGGGAGGGTACACGGACTTTGCCAGTCAGTAGGTGCATTTCGCCCGCCCCCTCACGGGGTTCGGTGCTCTGCTGCCGCAGTGACATCGGTATATACACAGCAGTGCAGCGAGCAGCTGCCTTACTCATCAGCAACGAACGGCAGTTTGACGCCTGGGAAGTCGCAGTTTGACGCCTGGGAAAAGTCGCCGCGGCAAAGGAGGGAAGGTCGGCGGGATGAGGCGAAGGGGTACACCTAGTCTCCTGGGAGCCTGGGGGTGTGAGTCTTCGCTTCGGAATGTCGACCCTGGGTGGCAGCCCGAACCAACCTTGAACTCTACCTCCACCATTTTTTTTTTTTCACCTCTCACGTGTCAACGGGCACACGCGGTGCGAATTTTTTCCCGTCAAAACCCTCAACCGTCACTTTATGTTGGCGTCAATCCTCAAAGGTCAAAATTCCGCGTCAATCCATAGTGGATACCCTATCTTATCCAGCTGAAGCTTGATCTCCGCGAGAAGCGGGAGCCTCAAGTCAGCTGTTATCCGTTGCAGATCCACCTCGGCACCACGAAGGGCCTCCTTCGTAGCCCTTGTGCGACAAACGCGGTTCGCCGTTGCCGAGAAGCGCACAGGCTGTTTACAGAGCTCGACAAGCTGTTCGATCCCGTCCAACGCCCGACGGAGCTCTAGAAGCTTTCGTTCTAGCGTGAACCCGCCCGCGTATCCCCTGACCGAAGCCCCCAGCAGTCCCAAGATGTTGAGTGTCCGTAGTGCGATGCGTACTACCTCTCGTGAGCACTGCTTGGCTACCTTGCACCGATCGATGACGCTGCTGCTGGTCTCATAGATCAGGGCTACAAGAACCGAAACCTCTACAGGCATTGTGGCAGGTGTTCCGTGCTGCAGGCTATGCTGGGGTGCGCCTGCTTGGCCACCGCAAACGGGTGTGATGTACAAGTACCATGTATTGCTACTCAGACCTGTGGCTGGAAGTAATCTCAAGCGAGAGACGGCACCATCCACTCGAGGGCAAGCATATCGCACCTTGGTTCACCATGCGGATGGCCAAGTAGCAGACCAAACAGAACACGGCCGTAGTGCCGTAGTTCCAAGGCAGGAAAACGCGAGAATCTCTCTCCGTGACTCCGATCCTATTGCCGTCTAAAGTTCTGCAGCGTGACGCGCGATCATATTTTTCTGGTTGAATCCAGAACTCTTCACCTCTTTTTCACCCCTGGTACACATGTCTCTCGTTATCGTCTGGTAGGATGGGGGCATCGGCGATAAGAGCTCTGTTCAGGTCCTGGTGACATGACCTATATGCATTAGAATATGTCGTGACTGGTTGTGTTGCTTGCCCCCGATCAATCATCATCACGCAAAGGGCGACGCTGGCTTGCCAACACATCGTTCGTGTGGAGGAGACCATACGGTTGGCGGCACATCGACCGCACGACTCATCCTGCAGTGCTTCATGAGGTTCTGGCGCGTAAGTAGACAGGGCCACTGTTGGCAATGCAGGCAGTCCTCCTGCCTGCGTACCTACCAGATGTCCAAATCGACGATCTATCCGGCGGCCCTCCCAGACGGTAAACATAGGTTCTCGAATCTCACGGACAGAGCTCCACACGCATACTGACTCCCAGCGCCTCATTGCCGCCCCGATATGCTACAGGTCCAAAAGCAACGATGGAACCAAAGATGCGCCCAGCGGAGACGGAATTGTGGCACATCTTGCTGCGTCATCTCCTGCATGTAGGCAAATGGGTCGCAGAGCAGACGGTACGTGGGGTGACCCACCCCAACAGCTGCACCCTAATAAATAACGGCCGAAGGATTCAGCACCAACATGAAACGTCCGGCGAACCTTCGGCGAACCTGGTTCTTCGGTGTTGCGACTTTTAGGGCAGGGTAGTACTGCTCAAGGGTACTGCTGTACTGCTGTGTAGTTGTTCACGGCAGGTGAGCAACCGCAAGCGGTGATTTTCCACCCGGCAGGTCGCATATTTGTCTGCGAGAGAGAACCCGCATTCCAGATAAACACGGCACTGAAGGCGGACGCAGGCAGGTCCAGGAGTACGAGGCAAAAAAAGAAATGGTACTCGGATTTACGCTCCTCCTGCCGGCTCGTTGGCTCTCAGTCGGATTGGCATGCTGCTGGCTGCTGGCAAACGTGTTTCCCCAAGTGCAAATCACAGCAGTCTGTGCCCGATTTGATTAACAAAGCGCGACGCAAATCAGCAAGAGCTACTGCTGTTGTAGATCATTGCAGTGCGGATGTGACCGCCGTGAGTATATTCTAGCCCGTACGCGGATTCGGTCCAACACCCCCAACTCAACTCTACTGCAAAAAAATTAGTCGCGCTAATAAGCAAGCAGCACCGGTGCGTCGAAGGGGGCCCACAAGGACGATGCATGATGCACGTGCAGCACACCAACCAACGCGACCCTTGAATCGCTCGTTACTGTAGTCTGTTGTGTTCGTTTTTGTCGTTGTCCACAATTTGGTGTCCAGACCTGGTTGCGAACTCTCGAACTTTTCGGGAAACTTTGCTAATACTGAGTCTTCTTGACCAGACCCCACCAACCGCGCTGTCGCACGGGGGGTTATTCCGGGCGGGAGAAACAAGAACGACCAACGAATCGATCGCCGGGAAATGGTAGTTTTGACATTTTTCGGAAACACTATTCTTCATGGTTCTTACTCTATTTAATCATTCAACCAATCGTGAGCAACTGTGATTGTAGATACCACCATGCTTGAAAAACCAATGTAGCAGCAACCGAAAAAAAACGGTTTAGGCGTACGTTGCACAGCAGTTGTACTAGATCGATATCGACGATAAAGCCAGCAGTGACCAAAACGGGACAAGGGTAAATTGAGACCCAGCATCTCCCCCCCACCAACCACACACACCTTAACCGGCCCTGCAAGATTCACGACACGACTGCAACGCAAAGCCCGCCCCGTCCCCCTCCCCCCAAAAAACTGATTTCCCTCAGTGAGTGCGCAAACATCTTAAACCACACACAACAGAAAGTCGTGCAGTGTTTGCGAATGCTAAGGTGAGAAAGAGAGGGGCGGGCGCGTTCGTTCTTTTCTGATGCTCTACTATGTTGCTGTGTGTGCTCTGTCCGGGATGGGAGAACTACTGTCGGCACATCTCGATAGCTCGCTCAGTACAGGCTATGTTCTGGCAGATGTTACTGCCACCACACCTGGCGGTTTCAAAGAGCAAATGGTGTGTCGTTAGAACGAGACTAAGCGAGTTGGGAGGCCGTACGAGAACACCTCCACGCCCCCCCCCCCCCACCCCTTCCCAAACCTTTTCCCACCCACCCCCTCAAATACATTCCAAAAACTACCACCAAACTAATTACAAACTCCCCCCCCTTCCTATCACA